ATTGGAAAATGTACTCCTACAACTTAAATATTGCATTGCATGGTTTAATGACCTCCAGCCTCACACGTTATCAACCCCCTACAAAAGTGATGAAGTGGGTCAGTATTTGCAAATAGGCAAACTTCTTGTGGATACTGAGTGAGAGCCACAGGACTTCTAAATTTCCATAGTAGGTGAGCTGCCAATGATAGTTTATTCGTTATACAAAGGCGAGAGATATTTCCAGTGCCTTGAAGGACACAATGGAAAATGGTGGGGGTGAAATAAGTAGCAAGCCCTGTACCTTTTGACTCCCAACAAAAATGTATGCTGATTTTTATTTTTTAAAACAGAGGAGGAAAGCCACATGTGAATGTATTTACTGGTTCAAGAATGCTCATGTGTGTATGACACAGCCATGAGAAATGTGTTACATGTTAGGGGAAGTATGGTTAAGGCTGGTTTATTTCTATAGTGCTGCATACAAACTTGGTCACCAGCAGTCAGGAAAGATGCACTGAAGCTGTACCAGGCACAGAGAAAGGTGTTTAGACTCTGCTCTCTCCCCATTGGCTTATATTTAGACTGGAAGAGCCTGGTTTAGCAGACTGGCGAAGTTAAGACTGTTCTTTATTCATGTTTCAGCTAAAGGCAGAAGTATTGTGGAAAAAAACCCAACTATTTTAAGCTAGAACTTGATCAGCTTTTGAAATGGGTTAGGAATACGGTTATTGGTGATGGTGGGAGCTGATGGACTGCTGTTTGGAGTCTGTTTCAGTCTTAGCCCAAGGTGATGTGAGCTGCTGCTGGGTGCAGGTAGGAGTGACATCTGCCAGAGCACCACTCTTGGCTGCGGGTTACAGAGGGACTGACTCCCCGGCAAGTTGGGGTTGTGACCTGGGTGTCTGTGTGGCAGAGCCAGGGATGGCTGCCCGAACGTTTTAGGTATCTCTTCCTGAGAAGCAGAGCTGTTTGCATGCCAAACCTCGAACTGCTCCTGTTTTTGCTGATTTTCTTGGGAATTACTGGATACAGAAATACTGAGCTATAAAATCAAGGTTATAGATGCTATAATTTATGATACAGAAGGTAGTCTCCTGAGATTTAATTCTGTGAGCTGATTTTTTTGTGTGTCGCTTGTTTTGGGCATCTGTCCCACATTTGGTCCTTGGCAGGTGAAAAATGTGCACATTAGTATTTTCTATTCCTTTAATTAATTTAGTGTGACTCTTTTTCCAGGTAATTAGGCCAGAGAAAGCTTCAAGAGGACTTTGCTTTTGGGCACTGATTTAAAGAAAAAGATGGGGGGAAAGCACATCAAATAAGCATAATTATTTGCACAATATTTACTAGTATGTTTGTGATACTGGAAAATCCACGCTCATAATACACATCCATTGATTCTATTGCCAGATCATGAAACTTACTTAGAGTTACGATTTGTCAACCTCTCTTGATTCATTCAGTGTAGCAGAGTCTTTTCCTGTTTTCTTGTGGACAACAATGATTTCTTATGACTGGGACATAGTATATCATGATGTTTGTTTGTTAGACTGTACAAAAGAATGACAAAAGGATTTAATTTTGGTTTTATTTGATATTCTATACTGTGATAACTGATAATAGTTATTACTAATGTACTTTCAGTTGTTTCAGTTCCAAAGTCTTTTTCCCCTCACAGACCATAGGAAATAGCATTAAGATGCATTATAATCCCATTTTCATCACTTTGTCCAATGTAAAATATGAAATATTGGCTGTTAGGTTTATCCAAATAGGAATCTAAACTTACATGCCAGATGAAATCTGTAATTTGATATAACAAAAAAAATCCTGATGCTACATGCCCAAATATGAACAAAATGTTTTCTCCTCTTAGAAGGCCTTACAGCTAAAATATTACTATAGAATCATGAAAGAAAATAACTGTCCTGTCAGCTGAGCAAGTAAATAGATTTTCAGTAGAATAGGGAGTTTGTAATTATATGTTAACAAGAACTACTGAACCTGAGTGCCTTTCAAAGGCAGTTGCCTTTCCAAGCCTGGCTTGCTGTGGTCATGCCCTCCCTCTTTCCAAGCTTGGAGGAATTGGAATATTTAAGCAGATTATTTTGTCTTAAATAGCAGGGGAACTGCATTCCTCCCGCATACTGCGCCTCTGATCACCACTTTTTATGTTTCTTTATAGAAGAAGGAGTCAAACATAGTTTCACATCATTTGGTGTTTCTGTTGCTGAAACACAACACACTGTTGAAGTGATTAATCTCCAAAAATGTTTCAAAAGAGGTTTTCTTTTTTTCTGCATATTAACCTGCACTGATTTAAAATAATTATTGCTTCCATTATAGGGGAAAAAAAGAGTAAAACTATCAGTGGCAGTAGACTATACCAGCAGATGTGCACACAGTAGTTCTGCAAGTGCAGAGCCGTTTAAATGTGTGTTCGAAACTGATGTGAATTTGGCTTCTAGTGGTCCTTTCCCACCACCTTTTTCACAGCCACACTTTCCCACCCCTTCCTGTTGGCTGAGCCAGGAGCTTATCCGATGCATGACAAGCTGCTTTGAGAATCCAGATAAAATTAATCATACCTGAAAAATCGTAGCTTGCATCTGGTTCTACTTGTCCAGGATCCAGTGAAAGAGGTCTGCTTTTTGGTTTGGAGGGGAAGTTTGGGTTTTTTTGTTTGTTTGCTTTTGTGTTGGTTTTTTTTTTTTTAAATTATCTTTATTTTCCGGCCCTAATACTGGCAATATTTTTCTGCTGTTATGAAAAATGTTCTTGTCACCTGATTAAAAGAAAGGGGAAAGGAACTCCCAAGATGTTGTTCAGGTTCTCAGTGTGCTTTCTGGGCCAATATTAAAGGAATTTGAAGCATGTAAGTTTAACTGCATGGCTCCTGTGAAGTGTGATTACTGTTATCTGAGAGCTCTTTGTGAATTCATGAACTCCGGGTAATCTAGATTAAAAACCAAATCAGCATGTGTGTAGGTTATGTTGGGTTTTTTTTTTCCAGGAGTTTACAGTTGTGGGTGGAGTGTGTGTACACCATGAAAGGTCAGATCTGTTCTCCGCAATTAGGGTCCCTGATATTCAGGCTACTTTTAATGCAACACATGTGTTGACAAGCCGGTCTTGGAAATTCTTGAAGTTTTTAGGACGTAATTTCTTGTCACAGGCACTGAGTGAGCCAACTAGGAAAGATGCCCTCCTAGATTTGCTGTATGTGAAAAATAGTACGGAATGGGCTGTATCAGATGATGAATGTTCATGAGTCCATGGGGCCTGATGGGATTCATCCCAGAGTTCTGAAGGAGCTAGTGGATGTTATGGCAGGATCTCTCTCTGTCATCTACCAAAGGTCATGGGAATCTGAGGAGCATCTCTTTAACGAGAGGGTGGCACTGGGACAATCTTACTAGAGAAGTGGTCAATGCCCCAGGCCTGTCGTTGTTTCAGAGGCATTTGGACAATGCCCTAATAATTTGTTTTAACTTTTGGTTAGCCCTGAATTGGTGAGGCAGTTGGATTAGAAGATAGTTGTAGTCTCTTGCAAGTGAAATAGTCTCATCTAGTCTATTCTAATGCACTTGAAATTTCTGTCATGAACTGGAAGCCTAAAAATTCTGGAAAGCATTTATTGCATTAAGTATGCAAGTCATAAAGCCACACACCAAAAGCCTGGAAGGCACATGCTTACCCAACTCCCTGAGGATCTTGGCTGATCCCTTTTCTTCAGACCATGCTTCTTGACTGATTCCTCTTTCTTTTCTCATCCTTCTTCCTGCTGTTTTCTCCTGTTAATGAGTTCTCCCACCTGCCTCGCTCCCCAAAACACTTCACCACTTGACCATCTGTCACTGCTGCTGTGCATCCTTACGGTTATAAGAGAAAGTATCAACCTTGAGCTGTAGCGTGTGATCTGTGATAAATAGCTTACAAACTGGCAAATGTACCAGTATTACAAGTAACTCACTTTATAAATTGCATGTGAAACAGCAAGAAATGTGGAGGCTGTGAGGTCTAAATGCCCAGTCTGTCAGTGCAATTCTGAGAAAAAGATGTGTCCAGTAAATCTGCAGAGGTTTGCAACATAACATACGGATCCACACACATTCACTGTAAGATTCATACCCTGCCCTAATAATGCATTTGATTTAAGAGCTGACCTCAGTTATTAGCTGCGGCTTTATATGAAGCTGTTGCAGATCACATTGCAAATAAAAATGTGTAACATGGCTGTGTGAGTACAGTCAGACTAAATGTATTTTCCAAGAAAGATTATTTTTGGTTTGCTTAAGACTAAGTTCAGTTGAATCAGCAGAAAGGCTTTTTGACTTCCTTTCTCTGTGTAATTATTAGCTGAAATTCTAATTCAGCTGCTTAGTCATGGTAAATAATGAAAATTATGCTGTTTATTGGCAAGCTGTTGTTATAATAAATACATTTATTGCTTAAAGGATGTTTCCCTTGAAACAAATAGCTGAAGAGTAACTTAAACTGCAAGAACCCATTTTTTCCAAAATATCTGTCACAGAATAGGAAAAGTAAACATGACAGGTGTTCAGAGTTTTCTGACAAGTTAATTTTATCCAAGTAATTTGCAGTGTTTTATAAAACTGGAACCCAAGCTGACTCCAGTCCATTACAACAACAAAACAAAATGTGGCAATTTGCCAGGGGAAGGGGTCTATGAGTTGTCAGATTAGGTCTCCAAGAGTAGGTGATCTTCATGTCAATACTTGTCCTCAGAGTCCATCCCCCACAGTGGAAAAGATGCACTGAACCAGTAAGTGCTCATTGCATAAATCCAGTTGGATAAATAACAGCAGGAGGTAAGGGAGCTCTGCTTCCTTGTCACTTAGGGAAAATTAGAGATGGTCAGCCACTGAAGAGGTCTGTTCTCTATGGGATGAAAGAAAGTCAGTGGTCCTGCCATGACAAGTCTTTGACCTGACAAAGTGTGTGATAATTCTGATCTATTAATGGCATTTTTTGTTGGGGTGGTTATGTTTTAACAGTTTCATTCCCTGGCTCCAATGTACTACCGAGGTTCAGCAACGTGATAGTTTATGATATCACCAAACAGGTAAGACCTTCTGCATGCTTTTTGCCTGTGTCAACTCCTCTGCTTGGGCCAGAGTTGGACTTAAAACCAACTCTGTTAATCCCCGTTCACGTCAGTGGGATTTATCTGCTTCAGTAGTTTGTGTAGATTTAGATGGAGGTGTCCAACTGCCTTAAAAAAAAATAAAGTCCTGCTTCTGTGCTGTTTAAACTTCATCTAAACAAGAGGTTGGAGACTGCATTTTGTCAAAGTTTCTTTGGGTTTCCTCTAGCTAAGTAGGTAGGACAGTATCCTGCAATACCCACTCTGACCACCACCACCTGTGTTCTCTGTAGGGAATTGAATTTTTACTACAAAACGCAGCCGGCTGCTTTATCAACTGCGCAGAAATTAAGTTGCTTTCATAGAGTAATTTGAAAATTAATTATTTTTAACTAAGCATATAATCTCATGTTTGCATTGTGGGACTGTGAAACTAGTAATGAAATAATAAGTTGCTGACCTTTTGTCTCAACATTATTCATTTGGAATGTAAATTGTGTTTTCAGATGCTAAACTGCTCCTGCTCATTTCTTGGGCAGAGGAGGCTGGAAGGCTCTAGCCAAGAGCGTCTTCCACTGCTTTTGAAAGAACCCCCTGCTGCTAAAGCTGAGTTAGAGAGGCATTAATGGATGGATGGTCATGACAGTTCACTAGCATTTCATTCCTTTCCTGCCAATTGAATTATTTACTACTAGGTTGAGAGGGCTTGGTTGGTTCTCTGGTGCATTAGTTTAACGATCTGTGGCTGATGATGGTGGCTGCTGTTGCACAGCGGTACTCTTTTCCTTTGCCAAGAAAAGATGAGGAAGAGTGAATCGTGCTGGACTGATACTTACTTTTAATTTAAATATCTTACAGTTGATCTTGTGCTGTAAGAGTAGAAGTTTGTTTTGCCATCCTTTCTCCCAGTTTATGTGGAACAGCTCTCAGAATAAAGAGAGGAAGATAGGAGACGAAGGTCAATGTGTATTTCACTTTCTGATGCATTCAGGGTTCATCATTAAAGCAGAATGGGTGGGTTTTTTCCCAAATGACTGGTAGGGCTTTCCCTTCAGTGATACTGATACAGCCATTGCTGATTTAGACACAACTCTTATGTGCTTTTCCGAAGGGGAAAAATGATTTATAATATATTTGGGAACTCACTTTGAGTTTTAGTAATAATTTCAACCATTCATTATAATTACAGTCTCCAGGAAGAAAAGTGGTTTAAATGCTATTATTTCATTACTGTAAAGAAATAGAAAACTTACTATTAAAAAGTGGGTAGCATCAAAAAGTGTTTGAATTTTGTACTTGGAGGGAAAAAGCCAAGTGAATTGTCACCTGTCTCTTTGGTTTCATAATGAGTAAATTGAGGTTTCCCAGGTCACAGATCTGGAGATGGGGGGGGGAAGGGGTCACTGTGAAAGCTCTCCTGGAAGTTATCAAAAACATGACAGTGGTTGAGATGGTAATCTAATGGGCAGAAGTTGAAATTAGACAAAGGAAGCTCACATTAAAAGTGAAGGAAATGAGCTACTAGCCAAACTTAAAAGAGCTGCGGTAGTTTCTTCATCACTGAAAATTTAAGAAAAACATTCAGTGCTGCTTGGGGCAGGGGCAAAGGGGGAAGTGTCCAAGTTCAAGAATTAATTTGGGGAAGTCTTGTGACCTAAAGTTTGAAAAGCAGATTATGTAGATATAGCAATCTTCTAGTCTTGTGATCTATACAATTATTATTGCATTACTACTGTTAAAGCTGTGTTCCTCTGAATTAAAAAAATAAGGAAATACATAAACGGGTTCTAGGCTGTTAGCTTATTTTTTATTTATCTGATGTAGGATTCATTTCATACTTTGAAGAAATGGGTGAAAGAACTAAAAGAGCATGGTCCTGAAAACATTGTAATGGCCATCGCTGGAAACAAATGTGATCTTTCTGATATCAGGTAACGTGTCCATTTTTGTTGCTGCTTTGATTGCAGTAACTGTACTGTTTCCTTCCTTCAGATAACCAATTGTTTTGCTGTTACAGTGGAATATAATTTTGGTCAGCTGTATTGAGTCTCGCCTAACACCAGTGGTTCTACCAATGTACAACCTCACCAGCAGCACAACTTAAATTGTGTACTTTTTTTTTTTAGCCTCTTACTGCACTTTCTGTGTATTTGTACAATCTACACCCTTTGGCTGCTGAATCGCTGGGAATGGGAAATAACTATCTGGTTTTTTTCTCCTTCCATTCATGTTAAAAGGTGCAGAAGGTATTAAGTGATGAGCAAAACCAGCAATGTAAAGCCAGAAGGATGGTGGAGGTAGAATATGAGGTAGAATAATGTTATTCACAGCAAAGCTTTGAGAACTTGCGCTGTGCACTTTGCAACAACTGAAGCTGTCCCATAATACGGGATGTGGAAGGTGCAGTTTTGAGGTTTTTTTAGTAGTGTAACCTCAAGTAAAACCTGTCACCTGCGTGAAGCAAAGAACCTCCTAGGTAAAAGAGGGGAAGGTTGAATCTGCCATCCCACAAAAGAGCCAAGGTGTTGCTATTTGGGACAAGAGTGAAGCTAGAGCCTCTCTTTTGCTTGTTAGCTCTATTTTGGATTTGCATTTATCCGTTTTGGAAATGAAAGCACATTCTGCTGTCCAGTGGTGTTCCTTTGTGTCAGTCCATGACTCTCATTTCTTGCTTTGACTATGGGTTGACTCAGTAGCTGTATTTGATGCTTTCCTCTTAGGACTTCATATGCTCTCATGGTTATTCAAATATACCCACCTGTTTTATAATCATTACTTTAGCCCAGGTTCACCAGAACCCTGAAGTACGTGTGTAACTTCCAGCAAGTGTTGCAGTGCTTTACTGAATCAAGGCATATACAAAGATCAGACCTGTGTGGCACTTCTTGTAGGGTTTTTTGTTTTGTCGGTTGCTTTGGGGTTTGTATTTTTTCCTCTGTGTGTGTGTGTGCGCCGTCAGCCATGAAGTGACACAAAACTGTGAATCACTGCTTTCTGTAAGACCTGAAAAAGTCCTGATGCTAGGAAAATCCTGGTTTCTGTTGGGCTAAGAACTGGGGACACAAATAGCATATTGGCATCTCCTACATGTCGTTGTGATATGCTTGTCAGCATGGTAAAACTGAGCCCTATAAGACAAAACTAAAAGGTTTCCAAATATGGAGTAGGAAAAAAAAAGGATGAAAGGATGATTATAAAATTAAAACGAAAAACCAGTTAGCACAGATAGGGGTTTTCAGTTGCCCAGAGAGTCACTTTTAAATTTATTGCTTAAGTGTTCCCAGCAATACAATAGCCTGATTAAATCAAGGGTAATAAATTTGGAGATTGTGACAAATGGCACGGTTTGCAAACGAATCCATAAGTAGCCCTCCCCCTGCTTTTGGTAGCATTTGCCATGGCAGCAAGCTTTTAAATGCTGTTCTACCAGAGGCAGGTTAACCTGAGGACATGAAAAAAACCTGAACCCCAGAAATGGTGTGAGAATAGTGATGTTCCTCACAGAGCGACTGGGATCTTCCCACCACATCATTCTCAAACACTACTTGCTCTTTACTGATGGCTGATCACAAAATGTTCCGATGTTTGCATGGTCCTCATTGTCCTCCATGAGCTAATGTCTCTTATTCTTTTTCCTTTCTAAAGTCATCCAGTGATGTCCAGTTAAAGAGATTTTGATGGAAAAATGGAGAGCAGACTATCTCATACGTGAGATGTTTTCACAGTTCTTCCAGAAATCTGATTATTTATGCAGTGCATGCAGCTGTATGTGTTCCCTGGCTGCTTTGTGTTTCCAAATTTACTTCAGTAAAAATGATTTTAGATGAAATGTGTCACCAATTTATCAGATTGTTTCCAATGAGTACAAAATGCACATGCCTTTGGGCACAGAGAATTTGAAAATAAGATAATGTGAGCGCACAGAGGCAAGCTGCTGTTTGTATGCATTTTTGGCATCTCTCTTTGGTTTTGTAGAACTTTTGGCAGATGTTTTGCTGGATATCAGAGAGGCAGCTGCTTTTAACACCGACGTAAATAGATGCAAGGGAGGACAATTCGACCCAGTTCAAGTTGATTTGATTCTGCCATCTCTCTGAGTGTAGGAGATAATGTAAGGAGGAATGAATGGAAGCAATAAGAACTGATAATCTTCCTTTGGGGAAAGACAGGCCCTATTTCTCATAATCATTGACCATGTTACCCTCCTCATTTAGCATCTAAAATTTGGTTTTGAGCTGCCAGGATGGATTTGGGACACTCAGGGGTCATGCTGCTTTTCTCAGTGTTGTTAATAGGCTATCAGCAGTTTTTGGCACTCTGTTGAAGTAAATTTATTTTCTGCTTTGAGGGAATTTCTACAGGTAGGCAATTTTGTTTAGTATAAATCTTCATCTTTGTATAGTACTGTCAACTCTAGTACTGTTGAATGTTTGGCATACTTCTAAGTAATAGTAATGGACTTTTCCTTCTGATATACATGTCCTGTCCTTTTGACAGGTCATTAAAAAGTAGTTTCAAAAGCAGGAGCTGAGACTTCAGTGTTAAAATGCTGTAAGTGTCCGAAATATTTTTTGAGCATTACAGAAGTCAGTAGTCATAACAGCAACTAAGAAGTGTTTACTTCCCTAAAAATATGGTGTACCTTCTTCAAAAATTGTGCTCACTGGAAATTGCCAGATCCTTGGTTAAGTGAATTCAGCAGAATTTTATGCTCAGATCTTCCCTTTATGCATCCAGAATATTTCCTTATTTAGTAATTATTCAGAAAATCTCAAGAGAGATTGAATCAATTGAACAATTTTTAAAGGATGAAATGAAATAACTGAAAGTATTCCTGCAATTGAAGTATTCCTCCAACTTTCTCTATAGCCCTGCTATAACACTTTCTCAATGCTCCATTGATGGTTCTTGCCGCCTTCTCTCTTCACCTTGTCTTGTGTGTATTCATCTCTTGGCTTAGAGTTCAAGCATTTGTGCTTTGCCTTTTTGGCAAGGTAGCATCTTAGCAATGTTGATATACATATTATGGTAACTCCACTTGGTGTATGCAGCCTTCTCGGTGCCAGCAGCACTGGGTGGCATGATGCTTATTGCCCATGTGCTGTGGATGTTTATAGGCTTCCTTTAAAAATGTCATTAGAGAAGGCTAAGAAGTTTTGTGACACTTCCTTGGAATATTGTCACTTACTACTGTTTTACCTTTTTCTTGATTCCTGAAGTTTTCTTTCTCATCAAAATTAAAGCAAGTTGCATAACCCCATGCTCTCAAATTTCCTCCTTTACTGTCGTTTGAATATTAAATTACATAGTTAAGTTCCTTTTTTCTTATCTCCCAGGCCATCTGCAGATGGTGGTACCTTTCATAATAAAGGGCAAGGTGCCATTTCAGAAATAGTAAGGAAAATGCTGCCTTCCCTGTGTCTTCCGCAATAAAAAGATGTGTAATACAAAGAAGCAAGTAATGGAAACAAGCTCTGAATCCAGATGCTGGAATTGCAGGCTAATATTTTGAAAACTATTTGTAATAAATCAGGCAATTACTCTGCCTCTCTGCATGTTTCCCACGAGCAGATGATCTGATTTATTTAAAATATATACTTTCATAAGCTAATTGTGAAATTGCATTGCTATGATCCCACCTAGGTACCTTCTGTTAAAGGCACTTATACCAGGAGGAAATTCTATGAGGAATCTCTGGATTAGTACATCAGAGCTGCGGAGTGAAGGAGTTGGTGCAAATTCTGCATATGCAACAGACAGCTATAAAGCTACACAAAACCCACCAGTTGATGTAGTGAACAACTGGAACAAAAGCAGTGCTGGCAGCCTGGTGTTTCAATGTGTGCTTCCCTGATGGGGCATACCTTGGGTACCTGTTAACCTGTTCAGTCTCTGATTCTGAGCTGTTGCTCAAAAACCAGGGACAGAGATGGTTATGAACACCAGCGGACACAGGCAGATTCAGTGCTGCCACTTGGCTCTGGCAGATACAAGGTCAGCGTGAGGCTTGTTTTGTGTCTCAAGCAGAGCTCTTGCATGTTGTAAACTGCATTTATCAGCTTCTGGCATGTGAAGTATTGGCTACAAAATGAGGGTGTTCTACCAGTGATTTTAAGATGGTGTTGCTTTGGTGATGAGGCACAGAACCGGGGTCTTTCCCCAGTGAATCTGGTGCTCTCAGATTGCTCTTGCCAACATGCTTGAAGTCAGTGGCTTTCATATTTCTTTCAGAATCTCTCTTGTTTTCTTGCTGCTTGCAAACACGTAGATAGACGGTGCTTTTATCATTTTCTTCCACAACAGTCTTCTCCTGTCTTGTTTGAACACTTGGTGTGCACAGTGCTGATTGCTGCCTGGATCAGCAGAGTTGTATGTCTTTTGTTTAGTGCTTTTCTTACCAGGATCAAGTTTAAAAAAAACAACCAAACAAATGGGGTTGTCATTTAAATTATCTTTCTTTTTTCAAGGCATGGATTCAGCAGCAAGTTGAAGAAAACTGCAGATTGATCAATGGTGAAATTTTGATATTTTGAATAATGTTATCTAAATGCAATATAATAAGAAAGATAGTACTACTTTTGCAGGGAAGAAGAGCATGCTAATGTGTTTGAGGTATTATTTTTTCCCCAAAATGAAATGATTTTTTGAAAATTTGGTTTATTTTATTTTTATTTAATTTAATTGTAGGGAGGTTCCTATGAAGGATGCCAAAGAATATGCAGAATCTATAGGTGCAATTGTTGTTGAAACCAGTGCAAAGAATGCTGTTAACATTGAAGAACTTTTTCAAGGAATAAGTAAGTAAATGCTCCCTTTATTTATTTACTTACGTATTTAATTGTGATTATTTGGAGGTCTTCTGAAAATAGCTGTCTGTTTGGGGTCTAAAAACTTCTTTCTCAAGGACATCAAGAAATCCACTGGGTCAGTAGTATGGCTGCTGTTTATGCAGATGTAAACTAAGAATTACATTAAATACACCAGAGCAAAACAAAGTAGATAAGGGGTAAGCATATTCCTTCTAAAGCTGTATATAAATCCTGACCTGGGTCACATCTTCTGTTTCAGACCAAGTCTGCTGTAGAGGTGATACTGTTGATCTTATCATCATGTTGATAAAAACTTAAATGTTGAAAAATGTGCCTGGAGGGCTCTGATAAGTAGAAAATAGTCATTCCAGTGGAATCCAGTAAAAACAATAAATTCTCTCCAGATCTCTTAAACAAGATGATACAGAGGAGACGAAAATTGTCTTGTTCAGTTTGCCTTCTAGGGCTTCTAGTTCTGGTCTCTGGCTGCAAGTGGTAAGGACCTTGTGGGCTGGAAGGGACCTGAGGAAGTCTTCAGTGCAACTTCTTGCTCAAAGCAGACATGATAGTGAATTAGGAGCAGGTTGCTCAGGTCCTTGTCTGGCTGGACCCAAGAGCAGAGATTCTACAACCTCTCTGGGCAGCCGGGCCCAGTGTTTAAATAGTCCTCACAGTGGCATCCCCATCGGTGTATCAAGTCAGAACCTCTCCTGATTCAGTTTGTGGCCACCATCGCATGTTGTCCTGGATGCACCTCAGCAATGAGCCTGGCTCTGTCTTCTTAGCAGCCCTCCCAATAGGTACTGACAGGTGGCTTTGCTGTCCCCCAAAGCCATCTCATCTCCAGGCCAAACAGGCCCCATTTCCCCAGCTCTTCTTCACAAGGCAAGTGCTTCAGCCCCCTGACTGTCTTGGTGGCCCTTCTCTGAGCTTCCACCAGTTCTGTCAACATTTTCCTTCTATTGTGGGGCCCAAAACTGGATGCGTTACCCAGATTGTTTTAAACTGTATCTAGAAGGGGTTAACCACTTCACCTAGTGTCTCTTGTTGGTATGGCTTAGAGTGCTGTTGGCCATCTTTGCTGCCAGGGGACGCTGCTGACTCATGCTCACCTTGCTACCCTCAGGTCTTTTTTGGCAGAGCTGCTTCCCAGGCAAGCCACTTCCCAGCCTCTCTCATAGCCAGGGGCTCTTCCTTCCCATGAGCAGGACTTGGCATTTGTCCTTTCTGAACCATATAAGGGTCCTGTTGGCCCATTCCTCCCTTCAGCCTAAGGCCCTCTAAACAAGGGCCTCAAGGGGTTTGAATGCACCTCTGAGTTGGGTATCATCTGAGCTTGAAGTGGGTGCATAATGTTTCCTCCTTCAGGCCACTGATTAAAGGTAAGCAAGGTAATTAGCACTCGTAACTGGCCTCCAGGTAAATACTTACTATTAACCACTGCCCTTTAAGTAAATTTTTCACACAGCTAACAGTCTACCTATCTGGATTGTAACATCCCCACTTTGATATACCAGGATGCTGTAGGAGAAATGCTCTCCCTCAGTCACAGATCCAGTTACACTATAATTGAGGGTTAGTGTAACCAACTAGGTTGGTTGGACATGATTTACCCTTGGAAGGTCCATGCTCACTGGTTCCAGTCACCTTCTTCACCTTCATGTGCTCAGAAGCAGCTTCTGAGAGGATTTGCTCTGTAGTTTTCCTAGGAAGCAGAGTGAGGCCAACCAGCCTGTAAATCCATAGCTTGCTATTGCCCTTTTCAAAGACATATATAACATTCAACTTTCTTTAGTCATAGGGGACCTCCCTCATTCTCCACAACCTTTCAAAAACGATAGGGATGAGAAAGAACGGCCTTGCAGCGACATTGGCTTTCTCCCTCTGCATCCTCAGTCTCAGAAGAGGCTGAGGGGTGACCTCATTAATGTTTATAAATTTGTAAAGGGCAAGTGTCAGGAGGAAGGAGCCAGGCTCTTCTCTGTGATGTTAAGTGATAGGACAAGGGGCAGTGGGAGCAAGCTGAAGCATAGGAGGTTCAATCTGAACATAAGGAAAAACTTTTTTACTGTATGGTTTACGGAGCACTGAAACAGGCTGCCAGAGAGGTTGTGGAGTCTCCTTCTCTGTAGACATTCAAAACCCGCCTGAATGTGTTCCTGTGTGACCTAGTCTAGGTGATCCTGCTCTGGCAGGGGGGTTGGACTGGATGTTCTTTCGAGGTCCCTTCCAACTCCTAATATTCTGTGATTCTGTGATCCTCAGGCTTGTATGAGTTGAAATTTCTTAAGAGCTCCGTGACTCCATCCTCTCCCGCTATCAGTGGTTCCTCCTCTCTCTGAATCCTGTTTTGGGGTGCAGAGGCCTAGGAGACAGCATGTCCAGAAATTCAACTTTATTTCCTGAAAGTCTTAATTTTTTTAATATCCTAAAAGTCTTCATTTTTTTTTTATTTCACATATTTATAGTCAGCTCATTTTATCTACCATGCATTGCCTTGAGTCAGGGCCTGCTCAAGTGTTTGCTTCACTTGCATGGGATGTATTTGAAATGGTTAACGAGAACTAATATTCCTAGAATACACTGCCTTTCTTTCACCTTCTTTAAGAAAGGAGGAGTGTGTAACATGGCTGGCTGGAGGAACTGGTTCTTCCCTGTGGTAGTTTACTTGATTGTCTATGTGTGATTGTTGTGAATGTTCTTGTGGAGGAACTCATCCTTGCCACGTAATTGGATAATTAGTTTCCGTCTTTGATAGGCAATGCTGCAGCTGGCAGCATGCACTGTCCCTAATAATGGATATAATAGACGAGGAAAATCAGCTAAATTAAGTTTAGTATGGACTAGATACCCAGGCAAGTGCACTTAATTCCACTGGCAATTATTTCTATATATAGAAGTATTTGGTCTCAGTGGATGTACTCGTGACCTTATAAAGTACTCAGCGGAGAGAAAGGAGAGTTGGGAGTGTATGTTTATAGAAATACGGTGGAAACCAAATGAAAAATGCTTAATTAGCAGGAGAATTAATTAGTATGATTGTGCCTGGGCAGAGAGTATGGATACCTTTCAGATGTTTTACATCACTTCAGTCTTTGTGCAGTTTCCAAAAAAGTCTGTCTGTCCCTAAGTTGCGTGGCAGCATTTCTGCCTTTTCAGTGTATGAAGTCCCTCTGTGGCCATGCCTTGTACTCTGTTGACTGATTTTATTTGCGTGGCACCCTAGGAGTCATGCTGCAGCTTTCGTTTTGCTTTCATGCTGCCCGAGAGTTCGTGCCCTTCTCTCTGTGCTACTGTGGAAGGGCATGGGGCAACTCCCCATGGAGCCTCCAAATGGGGAGACAGCAGCTTCTGTTTACCTTGGATCTTGTAGGTAGACTTTGTATTGCCTATTTTACAGCCTGGATTTGGAAAGATACTCCAACGTGCATGGAGAATTTCTTTGTTGAAAACCTTCTTGAAATTGATAGCCCAAACAGAAAGGGTAGAGTACATTTTAATTTAGCTAAAAAATTTACCTCATGCTTGCTTGTGCTTTTCATTTCCCAGGGGTATTTTAACATAATCATTTTTCCTTCCTAAGGTGTCTAACAACTGTCTCTTTTTCAGGGAAAATGTTGTGAACGGAGTGAAATAGTATAATGGGAAAAAATTACTCAACATAATGATATAAAGAAGGCAGAAAATAAAAGGGGAACTGGGAAGTTATGCTGACAACCAGATAAATCTTGGAGAAATTATACAAATTATAGACAGATTGCTTCATTTTTAAGGTTATTACATTACACTATTTTAAAAAGATTTTTTAAAATAAGCTTCTCTCAGGATTTGAGGATTTGACTGCTTCGAGGGATACCTTAATAGCACAGTCTCAACACAAACCCATTGTCCTTAATTCTTCTCAAGGAAATACAAGATGTGAAGGACTAGAATTAGTAAAAGTTTCTGATTTTTTTGAGGATGGGGCATATCTGGCAGGATAGGGACTCTGTACTCAGGAAGATGAGGCTGAGAAGGCAGATGAGCAGAAGGGTCAGAAAAGCCGGTGTTCTCCATGCTGGAGAACTGAGTTGTGTAATGGGACGCAGCTCCTGGCTGGCTGTCGTACCCGTGTGGTTTCAGATGGTGAGCCACTGTGCTTACCCTGCTTACATTTAGCAGCGCCTGACTGAAGGCTTGTTATGACTGGGAAACATCACGTGGCTGTTTTATTTCTCTGTAAACAAGAAAAGAATATTTTTAGTACATTGTGTATTCCCAACTCTGGCTAAAGTTTTTCCAATGTCTTTCTTGAAAGGCTTTTGACTTTAAAAAGAACTTAAGCTTATAGTGGCTTTACGTGTGTTCCAGTAGTTCTTTTCTAATAGCTGAGTGTCTATAGGATCAAATGTTATTAATTTTTAATTCCCAGCCTTAGAAGAATCATAGGCACAGCAGCTCCTTGTCGCTGGTTTATACTTTAGCAGCAGCAAAAATGCCAGGAATGTATTATACAGTAGCAGTATAATACACTATAAAGTTGTCCCTGTGCAGGGGGTCATGCCAGTTTTGTATTGCCCCTTCTTGGTTGTGGGGCTTTAATCCAGTGACCACTGCTTGTGCCTGGGAAGGCAGCTTACCCATTAAAACCGGCTGGTTTTCAGTGACTAAACAAGCAGCCCCAAGTGTGTTGTCATTTAGTAGCAAACACACCCGTGCAATTTTCAGACACCCGTTCATTTAACAGCACAAATAAGCCTTAGTTACCTTATTCCAATCTAGTGCACGCCCAGCTGTTACTCTTCAGCCTCCTGTGTGTGTTGCCTGTTACCTGAGTGTGAAGGTGCCCCAGATGGGAAGGAGAAGATTACAGGAAAGCTGTCCTCTAAATGATAGAGCTGAGCCAATACCTCCCAGGTTAATACCAGGCTGCATCAGTAGGTCCAAAGGTAAACAGATGAGTAATCCATTGAAGAATATCTAGCCAAGTGAAATATGAAATAAACTTG